TATATATATATTACAGAAAAACACAATTTTTCTTAAAATGATTATGTTAAATAAAATATGCTAACTAATAGCTCAACGAAGCTTAAAAAAGTAAAATGGAGAAAAAAGAAAATTATTAAATTATTGTAGTATTATCTATTTTGTCGCATTTAAAAATATTATATAAAAAGAATTTTTTCTATACTTTAAAATGCAGTTGTTGATTATTAAAAAAATTGATTATTCAAAACTATTTAATCCCCAACTATTTAGCTAAAAAAAATTCTAATATATGTTTATAATTTATTACAAAATAAAACAAACGATATATATTTTAGCAACTGATGAGTACTTCAATATCATATTCCACTGTTCTCTATTCTACAAAAAATTAAGAGAGAGAGAATATAAATTAATAATAATAAAATAATTCTAAAAAAATCGAGTTTAATATTAAAAAATCGGGACGAAAAGAAAACAGCGCAGACGAAAGAAGAAATACTGGAACCACTCTGATTTCGAATTTTATGTAATATGTGCTGAAATGTCAAATCCGCGATAGAGGAAAATTATTTTAATGAAAACATACACATTGGGAATAAATAATAAATAAGACTTACAGAATGTAAAGTTGACGACATTGCATACAATGTAAATCTTCTTTGTCACTCAGATTTTAATTAATTTATTTGAAAAAATGCATACTTTATACGTAACATGTAACAACATTTTTGATGGTTCCGATATTAAATAAAATGCAAAAGAAATATTTTTGTAATTACATTCCTTCTTATATAATGCGCAACTAATATGTTATTTAATTTTTAATGTTGTATATATTTCTAATATATAAGTATTTCAAATAAAGAGTTCCACAAACAACCACATATTTGTATAAATAACTTAAAAATATATGCATAATCGACTTAAATAAAATTTTTGATTATTATACATAAATAACAGAAATTTTTATTTATAATACCAACATAGATAATGTTATAGGAATGTATATATATAAAATATAAAATGTTCTAATATAGCGTTACATAAAATATTAATAGGATATAGATTTCAGTACTTTATTAATAAATTTTGATACTAAAGATTGAATTTAATGAGACTACTCTAAAAGAACAAATGTACCTTGTGAGTGTACGCACTAAAATGAAACGCATATTACAATGGAAAGTAATGAGTGCGCTTGCGCGGTCCTCTATCGAGTTTCTCTATGCGAATATTTTTCCATGGAAATAAACACCTGTACAATTTCTTTCATGTTATATCGATCGCTTAATTACATGTTTTTTTCATAAAACAGTGTTGAACTGTAAGCATACTTTAATCTTGCGGCATTATATTTCGCTTTGCATGCTGGCATATTAAGCAATTGAAGTTACAATTTACTAAAAGAGAAAAATTGAAATATTTTCAACCAACTATTAGTTTAATAGATCGAAAAAAAAGAATAGGCAATTTCTTATTTTTTACAGTTAAGTGTACTTTAGTACTTTTTGTGTTAATAAAGATGATTTGCCTAGAGACACAACACTTCAGACTCAATAGATTTCTTTTGCTTGCGATTGGTTTATGGCCTCACCAGAGATCGAAACTTGCTCAAATTCAATTTACTGTACTTTTTATTATTTTGACAACTTTTATTGTATTTCAGGTTGTAATAAATTATTTTTTATATGAAAGAATAATTAACAGAGTAGAATTCGAAAATTATTAGTCACATTAAAGAATTATTCTTTTAATTGAAATTTTAAATGAAATTTTCAACACAATTATGTATTTGCAGTTTACAATGTTTTTGACTTCAAAATGCACTACAGATCTCATTATCAATGTTCTATCTTCCGCATTTTTCTTCATTTGCTTGGCAATTAAATATAATTCGTTTTGGATTAACGCCAATACTGTAAGTAAAATATTTACTATACAGTTGTCACACAAATATATATTTGTAATAAATAAATCTTCAAATATGACATTTTTTTTTTATTTTATATGAAAACTGCATAAAATATTATTGATGTAATAGATGAGAGTTTCACTAGAACAACTTCATCATGTTTGTAACGAAATAAAAAATAAAAATGAAATTGCTATCATAGAAAAGTATGGTCGTATAGGAAAACATCAAACGAGAATAATTATGAGTAAGATAGTATATATGTATATGCTTACATTTTAATGAATTATTAATAACAGTAAAAAATTTATAAAGCTTAAATAAATTTTACTCAAATAAAATCTTGATATTTTTATATATACATATCATTTAATTTCTAATTTAATATTAGTACTTGCCGCATGTAGCATATCTACTTATCTCTTCCTGCCAATCTGGCCTCGTATATTTGATGTAATTCTGGCTAGAAACAATTCCCGATCACGCTCTGCAGCGATTTATATTGCAACAGAATATTTTGTTGATCAAGAAAACTTTTCCTACTTAATTCTTTTGCATACAAACGCAGCCATGTGCATAGGGGCAACTGCAATGGTAGCAACAGGCACGATGCTGATAGCGTACCTCAAACATATTTGTGGAATGTTTAGCATTGCAAGGTAGAATTCAATACATTCATTTGTTTTATAAGTGAAATCTTTTCTTTGTTTATTCTCAATCAGATCTAGAAAAATGAAGGACTTACAGAAAAAAATATGTATTCATATAGTTTCCGTATTAAGAAGGCAATGGCAATTAATATGCAAGATGTTAATGAAGAAAAAATGGTTATAATTTATAAAAGAATAATCT